TTTTGAGGTTATTGCTTTAAATGATTTTCAAGTCTTCCACCATAAACTGAGTTGACATTAAGCTCTTGGATCCTATCGAGGTGTCAAATCAAGTAGGTCGACTAACATCTTCTTCCAATAAACTTATAGGCTATTTAAATAACCTCACTTAGTGTGCTTAATCATTATATCGCAAAAATAGCAACTTTTAAAAACTGGATTGGAGCTCTAAGCTCCTCTGTAATAGAGAAAGAGATAGTGAGGCTTTCATTCCTTAACTAGGTGAGCACTCGCAACACTGAAAATGGGTGCACTCAAATTTAAAAGGGGAAATTAATTAGAGGGTAATCCCTAGTCAACTGATCACTGTAGGTAATACATATTTACACTTAGTTCTTTTAGCAGGCATTAACCTAAAGCACTGTCCTCATTTCTAGAGCTAAATGCTTCGCAGATATCTGATTTTCGGCATAAAAACACTGTCTCTAAATGAATACCATTCAGTTTAATGTGTCAAAGCACAAGGCGAATGTTACTGATGGAAACAAGGGTAGCTATTCCAATTTATGACAAGTTTTTGACCATTTTAATTAAATATTTGCACAGCTTACAGTTATAAAAGAAAGTTACTCATAAGTTAAGCTGATTAGGCCACAATTATGACAATGAGGTAAAATAAACATCAAAAATGCCTAAATATTAAAATGCTGTCAATAGATAGAGGTTAAAAACCTTATATTTATTTGTAAAGAATACCACTGTAAGCAGAACACAATAATTACTGCCTGAAAAAAGTTAATGTGATGCAGCAAACTCAGGCTTTCATTCATATAATTTTCTAACAGACTTAGTATATTTCATGACTTACCACTTATTTAAAAAAAGTAAATTGCATGGCGGATTAGCAGGTTGTCCCTTAGTTACGAGCCAGTTCTAAGACGCATGCTTTTAGACATGTGCTGTGTAGATGTGAAACATTCTCCGCTCAAAAGGGCATACAAAGTATCCTGCGAAATGGGGATCACACTGCACATGTGTTCAATTAATTAAAACCTCAAAATCAAAGGATATTTTGTTAATTTTTAAATGGATCCTTCAATAGCTCCTTAACTTTTGCACTAGATATAAATGAAAAGAGTTGTAGGTTGGAGACCGGTGGTTATATTGATGGTATATTTTGCCCATTTTCTTTCGGATAAAGTGAACATTGCTGGATAATGCCGTCTGGTTAGTTTAAAGCCCAATAATCCGGTGAGGATACAGAAGAAAAAAATAATAAACTTTTCTTTATCGGAATGCATTTTGCTTTCATGCTAGATGTGAAGGATTTCCAATCCTAACACTAGTTTTAGTGCTTATGGTGAGGTCACTTTATAAACTAGTCGATTTCTACATTATATATCCTGAGCAATTACTTACTGGGGAGGCATGCATAACTTACAATTAAACCGTGCCTGTAAATCTTGCACAAGAATCCGTTTTAAAGAGATGAGCTTTAGTTATTCTCAATACATAGCATGATTTAAGCTTAAGGAAAATATAAAACACCAAAGCACGCGAATTTCCTCCTG